GTCTCCCTCTGTACAGTGCACGGGCAGCGCGCTGTATGTTATGCGCGCAGTATGTCTCGCTCTAACATTATATCCCGGGAGATTTGAACTAATTTGCGGGCATCAGGGAAACGCTATCAATATGCGGGAGATCCGGGAGACTTGGGATGTCTGCAATGTACATTTGACACATCTTTTCATGTCGTGTAAGTATTCAACCACAGCTACAGTTTCACAAAATTAACGTTAGGGGGTCGCACACCGGACGAGAAGCTGCAGCGCCGCGTTGCACCACATAATTATTCGAACACATATTATCTATAAGTGTACACATACCGGCGGAGCCATTCGGCGTCTGTCCGCGGCGCCCAGCAACGTTTCAGGACCGTGTTCAAAACCCTGCTGCGCCACAGAGCGCCATTTACATAGTTTTATATAAAATTGTAATTTTTTTGCCTCAAACCGTTGCTAATGGATCCTGACTTTGCCCTATGCTGCAATATCTATGCATTTAGTTTTGCAGTCATTTACAGAAATCAGCTGCTTGAATGACAATTACTGATTATTATTAGATTTTTCACGTGAGATTCTCAATTCATTCTGTGAACGGATGATCTGAGGTAAAGTTTTCAGAATGCAGACTCAGCAACGATTGTACTTAATTGTACAGTACAATAACATAGAACAGACATTATCTTCATTTTCTGTCATTAAACATAACAATATTGCTGGCCATACACTGATGAGGAGTGCGCGTCCGGTGTTCGATAACGTTACTGGAGTTGTCCTAAACGTGACGCGGCGCTTCTCGTCCGGTGTGCGACCCCCTTTACAGCCAACAGTTCACATTCCGAGAATAAATGAAAAAGAATATATGTGCTCCATTCCATAACAAATGCGCGAAACAAGCTGTCGTTTGATAGACGCTAACGCACAACTACAACTACCGCATTTGTCCAGGACTACACGTAGTAAGAGCGGAAACCGAGGTAAGCGGATATGACGCGATTGACTCGCGACTCCCAGCTCACCCCTGCTGACACGTGCCGTTTCCTTGGTTAAAATCTCAATTTTCTCGCGATTTAAACATTGTTTGAAACATTTGGAATATTGTGAGTTATCATCTTTACTAAATATATAACACTGGCCTTGTGATTTTGGGATATTTTAATGCAAAAATCTTAGGTATTGCACCTTTAAGTGGTTATGTGACATCATTTGTCACCTCAAGTCAACTCAACACACAATCACTATATGAGTTTTGTTATTTTACACAAGGACGCATGTGACTAGAATGAATAATAATAAATAAAAAAAAAGACAAAAACATCCTAACAGTGTATATTTTTTCTCTGAGTTTCTCTGCTGTTGATCTGGGTGGAAGAGGGCTCTTCTTTGTAGATGGAGTCTCTGTGATGGGTGTAAGATGTATGTCGGCATTTCCCCTCCCCTTCTTTTCCTCCTCTTCAGTACACAAGAGTTGCACTTCATCAAGTTCAATCTGCTCATGGCAAGCAAAAAACAACAATAAAAAACTATTATTGCACTGTTATTCAATGTGCATTCACACAAAACCAGAATTTTAAGTTGTTCAAACCTAATAAAAACATACTTAAGGTTCATAAAAAATCATTTAGAACATTTATTTCCTTTTTCTATGGAAGTGGTTTTTGAATATTTTTGTGGGAAAATATTGACTGAAAAGACAGTAAAGGTAAATTTATGAACATACTCTTATTTGGAGGGTTGCCTGTAAATTAGACGCAGGTAATTATTGAAAGCCTCTTGTTTGGTTTGCATGGTGGCTGCTTTTCTCCTTCTGCACTCAACCTCTCCTTTTAGTAGGGATTCCAGATCTTTATGTCTTGCCACGAGAGCCCCAAAGTCCTTAAAGACAAACATATGGATGAGCTCTGACACAACATATTCTTACATATATTTGGTACTTACTGAATGTTTTATCCTGTCGAGCCTTTCAGAACCATCCTTTTTAGCAACATGGCAACTCTCTGTCCTAGAGATAGGCGTTAAAAGCAAAGAGTGAGCTTACTGATATGTACAGTATTTATGCATGCATGGGTTTTTATTTGAGTAGAAAGTTACCTGATGTTGTGGTTCATGATTGGCATCCAGGATTTTGGTAATTGAGAGTCTGGATCACATTTCTCAGTGGGTGATAAAGTGAATACATTCAAAATGAATGGTTAATTTTGTTTGAACAGACTATGCCTCCTCTGTTCTAGATTACACCTTACTCAATCTTTTCACTCAACCATTATTTTGTACAGTTTTTAACATCAGTGTCTGGCTTAAAGGGTTAATTCACCCAAAAATTCTGTCAGTAATTCCTCACCCTCGTGTTTTTCCAACCCCGTAAGACTTTCGTTCATCTTCGGAACACAAATTAAGATATATTTGATGAAATGTGAGAGCTGTCTCACTCCTTCACAGGCTGCTAGTTAATTGCTTCTGCAGAAAACTTAAGACATCAACTAAAGACATCGTTAAAATAGTCCAAGTGACTGCAGTGGCTCAAGCGACGAGAATACTTTTTGTGCGCAAAAAAATAACTAAAATAACTTTATTCAGCTATTAATTTTATTCCATGTGGGCTTCTGACATGAGTTCACAAGAGCGCCACGACGCATGAGCGAGAACTGAGAAGATAACGTCAAACTCATGATCATTCGATAGGAAAGTGTGAAAGGTAAGCCATTCATTTTGTGGCATTGGTAAGGCACTTTTACGTTTTCTCATTGGTTTCAGGCATCCAGGAAATACACACTTTAGAACCATTTTAAAAGCTACATCGAGACCCATCTGCATCATCCTCTCAGTTCTCACGCATACATCGTGGCGCTCTCGTAAACTCACATCTGAGGCCCACACGGAAGAAAATTAATAGTTGAATAAAGTCGTTATTTTTGTTTGTTTTTCCACACCAAAAGTATTCTCGTTGCTTGATAAACTTAAGGTTAAGCCACTCATTTCTGGGTGAACTAACCCTTTAATCTTGTCCCAGACTAAAATGCATGTTTGAGCTGTGTTAACAGAAAGGCCCAAGAGTCTGGCAATCCTTCAAGAATGTTTTAACAAAAAATTATGCTGTTTGAAAGCTTAAGCTGTACTTGTGTCCTGCAGTCAGGAGGAAGTAGCTGTGTGAGTCGGATTCTGTAGAGGTCTCCTGTGATGCCTAATAGCAGGTCTCCACCCTCACAGTACGCCAAACACTCTGGATTTGCGCTCAGGTCAAGAATTCTGAAATACACACCACAAAAGTCAAGGTCAAATCAAAGTTTGAATTCTTACATAACACATACAACTAACAACAAAACGTAGCATCTGTCCTGACCTTAGAAGGCGATTTTCCATATCCCAGATTCGTACAGTCCCATCCTGACTGCTTGAAGCAAACACGCTGAGCTGATAACATGCACACAGCCCTGGAGACACATAATCAGACTGTATACTATATGTGAAAAAATCAAGCTCCTCTGGCTCCTCCCAGTGGTCCTATTTCCATTTGCATAAATACACCGCTCCCGGTCAGAAACAACTAATCAGAGCCAGGAGGAGTGTCTTAGCAGTGTCAATCACGCTCATGTATGCGCTGATCACAGGAGAGCGCTCTTGCACAGCGCGACGTTATTCAAACCAAACTGAAGATTGCCGGTGTGCTGCAGCTGTGCTAATGACAGAGAAACAACCTAAACTAACAATTTCTCGAGTGGCACCTACTCATAAAGCAAAGACAGGTAAAAGGAAAAAAAAACAAGCGAAAAAGAAAGAAGGTCCATTGAAAGTCCAAGAAAGTCCATTGACTCGGTGTCAAAACTCTAGCCACGTTACATGTAGATAAAATGTCTCGCACTGTAATAAGCAACAATGGAAACCTGTTAATTCACTGGCTTGTCATGTTGCTGAAATAATATTGTGGCGATATAATATATTGAGGCCGAGGGACAGGGACATGAAAGCAGCGGAGCATCTCTCACGGAGGCTTCCACTTTAATTTCGTATTTGTTCATTCATAATTAAACTTGTTGAACGTTCGCAGGTTCCCACCTCCTTTTTCCCAAAACATCTGAACCCAAAATGTACTAGTAAACCTAATCTAGACCTACATATCGCTAGAATAATTACTTGAATTATAATAGGCTACATAAATTACATTATCGTTATGTTATCTTACTAGCTATTTATAACTTTAAATGCAAGTGCGTTTAAGTGCAATATTATGAATTTAAATTACATGTATTGCAAAATATGTAATGATTTGAGAAGCAACTTTGTAGTTAAAGTATGGGCAAGCCTTAGTCAATGTAAAACATATTGTTGATGTTTCGTCCCTACTAGTGAATGCGCCATAACTGCTTATCCGTCGTTATGGGTGTCCCTGCTTACTAGCCTGCGCATTCACGGCAGGCTCCGCTGTTGGGGAGGAGCAGTGAAGGGAGGGCTGTAGCACAGCAGACAGCAAGGGGGTAGG